ACTAAAAACCTCAAATCTGTTTTTTTTATATAATTATAAATATCAGTTATAATACTAAAAAAATGTGATCCTGCACTGCTATGATTTATTTATTTATTTTGTTTATCCGTTTTATTATAAAAATTTGTGATTGTGTTTAGACCGCACTTTATGTGAAAAGTATCTAATTGGTTTGAAGCCTACTTTTCAAGCATTATTCGTTATGGACAATGGTTTTTGAGTTTTGACGGTCTAATCCACACGATTTGGAAACTACTCAGATTATGAATATGATGATTTTACAGTAGTTTTTATAGTAGAACTGTGTATATCATAATTATATACTCAACGTTATTATTAGGCATACAAGATTAAGAAATGATTTGTGATATCACTGATATGTATGTTCTTTCATATTTCAAAGAACTTCGGGTTATTAACCTTGGATTCCCAATTTAATTTTGGCGAGAAAAAAAGTAATATTTTTTATCGGACCGATCTCTCTCTACCGTGCACAATGCACTAGTGGGAATGTGAAATGTAACACCACATGAGACCACGCTTCACATACCTTTTTTCTATAACCATGTTGGGAATAAATTATATTTCTCAACTATAAGAAAAAAGGAATGGATCTCATCAGGAAATGTCACAATGGCAGCCCATAAAAACTGGCTATATTTCAAGAATGTCTGTTTCTTTTCTAGTAAGACGTGTATTTGGACGTTTTGAACTTATCAAAGTATATTAGCACGATTTACAGTCTCCAGTAAAGATTTAAAGCTCATGTTTAATATCTAAATAGCCAAATTGGCTTTTCTTGATTAGTCGTATGATATGAACATAATTTTGCCCTTTCAGGATGTAATAAAGACTCACCACCTCACATAGACAAAATAAAGCATATGATTGTAACATATGCATCACCTTATACATGTAAGCAAGTCGGTTTATACAATGCTGATGCACGGTTTCTAAATATAACACTGTACATGTACTAAATGAATAATCATATAATTAGTCCGTATTAATTCGGAGATAATTGAACGAGAAAAGTGAGAGTTGGGGAGGTAACCCCAAAGTGGGTCCCTTTGCACCCTGAATTTGACGCAGACATTATCATATACCACGAAAGATCCATCAATTTTTAGAGGTCCATTTTAGACATTCATTTCGAAAGTACGGTCAAACCGAAAGTGTTAAACAATAATAATAATACTTTTCTTGTTTTCTTGCAACAATCGATAGTTTTAGTAGTTACGAGTCACAAATTTTGTTTTTATATACAATATCCTTTCCTTAGCATGTTAGAAACGATATGGTTCGTGATGGATTATTGAAATACGGTTATAAACTTTGGAGTATGCTTTATGCTCTCACGAAGCAAGAACATAGTTGTGATGGTTTCTCTACAGAAATACAGATTAGGTTTTTTTGATATTGTGTTTTGCGATAGAGTTAATTAGTTTTAGACTACTAATAGGCGGATTGGATCTACCTAGTCAATGAGCATTAGAAAAGTAGGAGACACGACTGCTAATTCAAGTAATATTGTTTGGCGAGCTAGTGTATAACTATAATCTTCTTACAAGTTTGTGTAGAATCAGCGATAATATGAATTTGTTTAGCTTCATAGTTTTGTATCGTTTTTATTCTTAAGAGTTACATCATATATACCAAAAACACCATTGCAAGGGTTATTAAGCTGCTGATCTTATCTTGTCGACGTCAACCATACAAAGTTCCAGCCAATAATCATTCATTTAAAAAGTATAGAAAAGTTTAAGAAGAAAAAAAAAGATCCAAAAACTAAAAACGAGATGGTGTCTTCTCACCCACCTTTTTAAATATGTTTTGAAAATAACTATATCACTTTGTCAATATTGTATTGCTATAAATCTTTAACCAGTAAATAAATAAAAACGAAAATCTATACCAAGTTTGTAGATTCAAAATAAAAAGTAACATTTTCTAAAGTTTTACATTTCATCACTAAAATTTGAATAAAAATATGTTTCAGTCACAATAGTTTAGATTTTGGTTAAACTTCAGATAAAAAAAAAACTTTGTATTTACAGATATCTTTTTACAAATTGTTGTCACCGAAGAGAATTTTTATTTTCTTTGATCTCAAGTCTCTAAAGATATTTTCTGTAAATTATGAAAAAAGGGATGATATAAGAGTTAGGTTAAGACTTAAGACTTAAGAGGAGAGGCCTAATAAAGTGATAAACGGATGAGTTAGAGCATGTTTAACGCAAAGGTGCTTATGGAAGCGCTTAAGTATATTTTATCAATAAAATTGAGTTTAGCGCTTTTCCTAAAAATCTTTTTTTTTCCCTGCTCTAATGGGAGGATCCTCGAGAATCAGATTAGTGTGACTCCATTTTAAGATTAGAAACCTCTAAATTGAAAAAAGCGAACAGACTAATCAAATCAATCATAACAGAACCAACACACTCACACAAAAACAAATCATAGCCCTAAAAAATAAATCGAAACGAAAAAAACTCAGAAACACAAAACAATCAAAATGACCAAATAGGATTATGCGAAAAATTGATGCAAAAGGTGAGTCGGCAACAGATCGCCATAGGAGACGGGAAAGAAGGAGAGAGAAAAAGGAAAGAAGAAAAGAGCATTTTTTTTCTCTCAATTTCATCCTTCCAATCGTGACGTGCCATGTGGCACTAAGCGCGAGCGCTTAAAATGTTTTTTTAGGCGTCGGAGCTTCGATGTAAAGGCATTTTTTGATTTATTTTAATTACTTTTTCATCTAAGCGTCCCTTTAAGATACCAGCGTTAAACATGCTCTTACGGATCAGCTTGACCCAAACCTAAACGGATGGTTCTACTTTAACCCGTACCTCCTTTTGTCAACGGAGCGTGTACACACGTCCAAGACACTAGCGCGTGACAATGAAATGTAGATCTCCAAATAAATGAATTTTCCTCACATTTCATTTTCTTTCGTATATTACTAGGCCTATGACGAAGATGGTTAAATAATAAATACTTGAATACATACCTAAATACGCACTTCCCCTTAAGAAGAAAACACAGCTTTTCCTAATCAACCCCCACCACTAACGGACAACTGTATTAACTTTTCAACTAATTACTAGGTAAGTTAATTAATTATCCATATAAGTAATCAAGATTCTGTCATTAGCCAGTTAACTGACGGGTTTCAAACACAGGATCTAGTCAAAGTTAGTATTCGATGTTTCTGGTAACATTTTTACAATTAGTACATTTGTATAATTAGATAATCGCTCTTATTCCCCAATTAAGTGTGTACTTTGCTGAAAAGAGTCCCGTAATCATTACTGTTATTCCATTATCAAAATTTCATTAATTATTCAATTACAGTACGGATATATTTTTTTTGGTAAAATACGGTACGTACATTTGTAGTCCTTTCTCATGTATATTTTGAATTTCTATTTACAAAGATATGATAATTATTTAGGATCTTGACTAATTACCTTGTTTTCCATTTAAGTCCAGATTCACACGTTTTCTTGTGAATTTAAAGTTCAGGAATAAAATGAGATCCTCTGTACTTAATATGATCATTAAAAACGCTTAAATAGGTTGGAAAAAGTGTGCACTGAAACAAAAACTAAAAAGAGAAGAATTTGGCGTGCAGGAGAGAATAATAAAACAACAAACCAAAAAATAAAAACGTGAAAATATTTAAGAAAAGTAATTTAATTTATTTAAGAGTTCACCAAAAAGGTTTTTGTTTATAAAAAAATAGTTCACAGAGAAAAAAGGAGAAAAGAAATACGCCGTTGCTAAATGATGACCAATTGAAAACAGAACCTTGAAGACGGAGTCACTGTCCTGTCAAATAAAAGAAAAGAAAAAACAGACTTTAAGGTCTTTGTCATGTTTTTCGTTTTCTAGTCCATTTTTATACAAAATTAATCGATCAAACTCAATTTAAATTTAAATTTAAAATAAGATCAGGATATTTATAAAAAAAAAACTTGTATAAACCCTAGTGGAATTATAAAATTGGTAAGCAAATTAAAAAAAAAAGGGAACAAAGGAGAGAGAAAAAAAAGTGTGAACAGTTAATGGCGGAGCAGTATAAGGAATCGCTTCTCTCTAGAAATCTGCCATAGCTGTATCATCCATCATTCATCTGTATTACAAAGAAAATTAAAAGCAGAAATATTTACAGAAGAAAGGCAAATAAAAATTAGTGTTAAGAAGAGGGAAAAAAAGACAAGATCTTTCAAAGTGTTTTCGAGATGCGAGCTAAGTCCGGTAGTAAAGGAACCTTCTCTGTACTTCTCCTCTTCCTCCTCTTAATTCTCATTTTGCCCAGTCTTTAATTTCTTTCCTTTTTTTCTTTTAAAAATATTTACTTTCCTCCTCTTGTTCCCTTGTTCTTCAATTTCACTCTTTCTGGGTTTTTATTTTTGCTTCCTTTTTTTTTTCAATCTGTATCTTGAATTTAAAGCTGTGATTCGAAGAGAAAAGTCAAGAATCAATTTCTAGGGTCTTCTTCCCTTTTCTTCTTCTTCATATTCCAATAAAGTTTTCTTGGGTTTTTTGGGTATCGGATCTGTTTCTTGATCCACAATTACTTCAAGATTGACTAAGTTAAAATTTTCTGGGGGGCTTTTTTGATCTAGGGCTTCTCTTGAGAGATTGATGTAGTAAGACTTCGTTTTGGCTAAAAAGAAAAAAGAAAAAAGACCAAAAAAAGAAAGAATCTGTTTCTCATCCAAATCTACCCACCATTTTTGTTGTGGGAAGATTTTTTTTTTTTTTTTTACTCTTTACATAAACCACAAAGTCAGAGACTTTATTTGTTTTTGAGGAGAATTAGAGAAGAGAGGGTTGTTCTTGTAAGTAAAAATATTTGATTGTTTATGGGAATACCTGATGGTTCACTGCTAGATCTAATTGATAAGGTTAGGTCTTGGATAACTTCGGATTCAAGCGATTCTTTAACCTTTTCTTCTTCCAAACACTTTGAAACCATCATGCCAATCATTTCCAAAATGTGTCATGACTGTGGAACCAAGCTCGACGGTGGTTTGCTCTTCCATGGATACTGCTGCCTTAGCTGTGGCTCTTTATGGTGCAAGAACTGCTTCTACTCTGAATCTGATACAGAGGAGAGACAAGAAGAAGATTGCAAGAAGCTCTGCAGAGAATGTAATGGTGAGGTTCGTGAGTTAAGAGGAAAGAGCTATGACAAGGTCCATCCTCGTGATAGCCCTGATCCTCCTTCTCTCGCTCAAAGCGACAATCTTGCATCCAGTCTTGAAATCCGTGATTGTAGGAACATCGCCACCATTCGTTGCTATCCGAGCAGGTATTGCCTCGAGTTCTTGATTCTATGATCATAAAGTTTAAACCTTTTGATTCTGTGATGAAGAAAGTTTAAATCTTTTGATTCTGTGATGAAGAAAGTTTCAACCTTTTGATTCTGTTATGAAGAAAGTTTAAACCTTTACAGTCAATAATGAGTCTTTATGTGTCTATGTGTGTGCAGGGGAGAGGAAGAAGAAGGAAGGAAGTTTTTGAGCCCTTCGAGTGAATACTATCAGGAGAGTTCAGATATAGAGTCGGGTAGTGTTAGCGCTAGGCATTCCAACGAGCTTTTTAGTTGTAAATCTTCAGCTGGGTCAAGTCCTCACGACAGTCCATTAAGGAACAATTTTAGTCCTCTTGGGCGCTTTGTACAGCACGCAAAAGACCTGAGCCCTAAAGATCAGGAAGCTCAGAGTCGTCGTCACGAGGAAGAGGAGGAGGAAGAAGAGGAGGAGATGCTGCAGCAGCAGCCGTTGGATTTTGAGAACAACGGCCGTATCTGGTATCCTCCGCCGCCTGAAGATGAGAACGATGATGCTGAAGGTAGTTACTTTACGTATGACGACGAGGACGACGACGTTGGGGACTCTGCTCCGGAGTTTACAATGAGTAGTAGCTTCTCTAGCCACGTTCCAACTAGAGAGAAGCTCGGAGATAACAGTAATGAGCCTCTTAGAACTGTTGTGCATGACCATTTCCGAGCTCTAGTGGCAGAGTTGTTACGTGGTGAAGAGCTTACTCCGTCTGATGATGGCAGTGGTTCTGGAGACTGGCTTGATATCGTCACTGCGTTGGCGTGGCAGGCTGCGACTTTCGTGAAGCCGGATACTCGTGCTGGAGGCAGTATGGATCCAGGGAACTATGTCAAGATCAAATGTGTAGCTTCAGGAAATCAAACCGAGAGGTATGAGTAATGATTAATCTCTTGTTGCCAGTATCTGATTCATTCATTAGTGTTGTCCTTTGGCTGATACTTTGTTTCTTGCAGCGTACTCATCAAGGGAATAGTGTGTAGCAAGAACATAACGCACAAGCGAATGACGTCTCAGTACAAGAACCCACGTGTCCTGCTCTTAGCTGGGTCTCTAGAGTATCAGAGAGTTGCTGGACAGTTAGCTTCCTTTAACACGTTGCTCGAACAGGTTTGTTGTGTTTTTGCTCTTTCTTTAGGTTTAGGGTTAGCTTCCTTGATTCACAAGCTGAACAAAACTGTTGAACTCTTGTGTGTTTGGACAGGAGAATAATCATATCAAGGCGATTATAGCAAAGATAGACTCTCTACATCCCAACGTTCTCCTTGTGGAGAAAAGTGTGTCTTCATATGCTCAAGAATACATTCGAGAGAAAGATATTTCATTGGTGCTTAATGTGAAGAGGTCATTGCTAGACCAAATAGCTCGTTGCACCGGCGCTGTGGTTTGTCCCTCGGTTGATAGTATTGCAACGGCTCGGTTAGGGCACTGTGAGACATTCCGGATTGAGAAAGTGTTGGAGCAACAAGAAGCTGGGAATCACTCGAACAGAAAACTCTCGAGGACGTTAATGTACTTTGAAGGGTGTCCAAGGCGACTCGGCTGCACGGTAAGCTCCATTGCTTGAATCTTTTTCGTAAAGCTTGAACCTTTGTGGCTAAGTAAAAGTTAAACTTGCGCAGGTTGTGCTTAGAGGAAGTTGTAGGGAGGAGTTAAAGAGGGTTAAGCATGTTATTCAGTACGCAGTGTTTGCAGCTTATCACTTGTCTTTGGAGACTTCGTTTCTTGCTGATGAAGGCGCTTCTCTGCCAAGAATAAAACTGAAGCAACCGGGGATGGTTCGGTCTGCGTCTGAAAGGAGAATGATCGATGATGGCATTTCCTTAGTAGCTCATTCTCCTACAGAGAAGGATGTTATTGACACAGCTCCACACGAAGATGAGAACACAGTGGTCATGATGGATCCAGAGCATGAGGTTTGTGAGTCTTTGTGTGAGGAAGACTTTGATCCGAGTCAGATATTCTCATCTTCTTGTGACGTTGACACTGAGCAAACTGATCTGCATGAAACACTGGCTCAACCGCCACAAGATGAAGAAGAGAACCAAGTAGTGATGAACACGCAAGAAGATAGGTTCAGCGAAGACGATGTCTCTAGCGAATACTTCTCTTCCGCAGACTCACACCAGAACATCTTAGTCTCCTTCTCAAGCCGTTGCGTTTTGAAAGAGTCTGTATGCGAACGGTCACGCCTCCTGAGGATAAAGTTCTACGGATCCTTTGATAAACCTCTCGGCAAATACCTAAAAGACGATCTCTTCGATCAGAGTTCAAGTTGTAGAACATGCAAAGAGCTCGTTGACGCTCACGTCCTCTGCTACTCTCATCAGAACGGAAACCTAACCATCAACGTTAGACGTCTTCCCTCCATGAAGCTGCCCGGAGAACAAGACGGGAAGATATGGATGTGGCATCGTTGCTTGAGATGCACGCATGTTGATGGAGTCCCACCAGCTACTCGGAGAGTCGTCATGTCTGATGCGGCGTGGGGGCTTTCGTTCGGGAAGTTTCTTGAGCTTAGCTTCTCGAATCATGCGACCGCGAATCGCGTTGCGTCTTGTGGCCATTCTCTTCAGAGAGACTGCCTTCGGTTCTACGGGTAAACACTCTGTTTCATCTCATTCTCTAGAGCTATCTCTTAAAGCACTAATTGTTTTTTATTGTTTTTGCAGATTTGGGAACATGGTTGCCTTCTTTAGATATTCTCCGATTAATATACTTACTGTCTTCTTGCCTCCGTCAATGCTTGAATTCAATAGCCATCATCAACAAGAGTGGATACGTACCGAAGCAGCTGAGGTGGAGATTTAAGCAAAGGTTTAACCTTTTTTTGCTTTTTGGATATGCAAATGCTAAAAGATCTGTTTTTTTTTTGTACAGCTTATGGGTAAAATGAGGACTATGTATGAGGAGATCTCTGTTATGCTCAACCGTATGGAAGAGAGAAGCAGCTTGCTCGAGCCTGAACAATCTGAAGCCTCTGATCTTCAGAGCCGCGTGATGGGATTGAAAGATCAACTCGTCAAGGAGAAAGATGAATACGATGTGAGTGAGCATTGCTCTGCTTCCTCTGTTTCCTCTGTTTTTCCTTTTATAAAGATCAAATCTTGATGGATTTTTGCTTCTGAACATTGCTCTGCTTCCTCTGTTTTTCCTTAAAGATCAAATCTTGATGGATTTGTGCTTCTCAACAGGACGCGTTGCAACCTATTTTCGTGGAGAATCTGCAAATTCAGGAAAGTTTGGATATTCTTGAGCTGAATCGACTGAGAAGAGCGCTCATGATTGGTTCTCATGCTTGGGACCATCAGCTTTACTTGCTAAACTCTCAGCTCAAGAAAGCTTCCGTCTTTAAACCCAGCGACGACAATGATCCTCCAAAGATTGACCGTAAACTGCAAGAAGGTCAAGATGATGGAGAAGGAGGAGAAGCTAATGGTGACAACAACAAAGATCTTGAAAAGTTGCTCTCTCCTGGTTCTTCTCTCTCTGAGAGGATAGACTCAGCATGGTTAGGCTCGTTCCACACTCTAGAGAAAGCAGAGACCATCGCAGAGACAGAAGCTGCTTCCAACTCTCCTCTCCGTAGACTCGCAAGACCGATCCGAGTCCAGTCTTTTGACTCAGCGATTCGGTTTCAAGAACGGATCCAAAAGGGCTTACCACCATCTTCTCTCTATCTCTCAACGCTCAGATCTTTCCACGCGTCCGGCGAGTACAGGAACATGGTGAGAGACCCTGTCTCCAACGTGATGAGGACTTACTCTCAAATGCTACCCTTGGAAGTACAGAAGCTGGACCTGATCGTTGGCTCAACTCCTACGTACATCTCCTCTGCTTCTCAGATGGCTGATGGAGCTCGGATGCTGATCCCTCAGCGTGGACTCAACGATATTGTCATCCCTGTGTACGACGATGATCCAGCTAGTGTTGTCTCGTATGCTCTCAACTCCAAGGAGTATAAAGAGTGGGTTGTGAACAGAGGCATCGCTAGTAGTAGCAGCAGCAACAACTTGAGTAGCAGAGAGTCCGAACAACAACAACCTCCGACGTTCTCTTCTTGGCGGTCTTTAGGAGCCATGGACGTTGATTACATCCACCACGCCGTGTATGGATCGTCTCAAGATGATAAAAAGTCTCCTCATTTGACGATTTCTTTCACTGACCGAGCTTCTTCATCATCTTCCTCTGCTTCTGCGAGTGATGATCGTAAGGTGAAGTTCTCTGTGACGTGCTACTTCGCGACGCAGTTTGATACTCTGAGGAAGACGTGTTGTCCAAGCGAAGTCGACTTTGTTAGGTCATTGAGCCGGTGTCAGAGATGGTGTGCGCAGGGAGGGAAGAGTAATGTTTACTTCGCTAAGTCTTTAGACGAGAGGTTTATCATCAAGCAAGTTGTGAAAACGGAGCTTGACTCGTTTGAGGATTTCGCGCCGGAGTACTTCAAGTATATGAAGGAGTCTCTCTGTTCCGGTAGTCCCACTTGTCTTGCCAAGATTCTTGGTATCTATCAGGTTAGTTACAAGAATGTAAAAAAGTGTTTTGCTTTTGAAATGGAATGGTTGCTTAAGCATGTGGTCTTTGTAGGTTTCGATTAAACACTCAAAAGGAGGGAAAGAGACGAAGATGGATCTGATGGTGATGGAGAATCTCTTCTACAACAGGAAGATATCAAGAATCTATGACCTTAAAGGATCTGCACGTTCACGGTACAATCCAAACACAGGGACAGACAAAGTTTTGCTGGACATGAATCTTCTTGAGACACTACGCACAGAACCGATCTTTCTTGGAAGTAAAGCTAAGAGAAGTCTAGAGAGAGCTATATGGAACGACACAAACTTCTTGGCTGTAAGTAAAAATTTCATTTGTGTCTTGTAATGTTTTTCATTAATCTGTGATGCTAATTGGTTTTTATAAATATAGTCTGTGGATGTAATGGACTACTCGTTGCTGGTTGGGTTTGATGAAGAGCGTAAGGAGCTGGTACTTGGGATCATAGACTTCATGAGACAGTACACATGGGACAAGCATCTTGAGACTTGGGTTAAAGCTTCAGGCATTTTGGGTGGACCTAAGAATGCTTCTCCAACTATAATCTCACCGAAACAGTACAAGAGGAGGTTTAGAAAGGCCATGACTACTTATTTTCTCACTGTTCCTGAGCCATTGATTGAGTGAAAGATTAAAAAAAAAACAATTTTCTATTTTTTTACTGATCTCAATTTGTTCTCCTCTCCAGTAATAAGGAAATTGGATTAACAGAAAGAGATATATATACAGGTTCTGACCTGACTGATTGATTATCATCACCTTGTCTTTTTTTCTTTGTGATGTGTGTTATTGACTTATTGGTTACTATGAGTGTGGAGAAATTGTATATTGTAATTATCGGCCAAACTAAAGCCCCTAAATTTGAAATATGAAAAAAGACTAATGATTTGCCTTTTGCTTTTATATCTTCTCTTAATATTTTTGATTCAGAAGCTGATTGTGTTAGTCATGTACTAAGACAAAGATGTGTACATTTGTAAGAAAAATACAATCTCTCTTCAGAATTGTGTTTTGTATTTACAAGAAAACACTTGGTCTCAGCCTTGCTCCAATCATTAACCAAAGGAATACAGAAGAGTTTCTTGCAACAGTTTAAAATTCATCTAAAACACACAACCTTTTAAAGTTCTTGTTGTTAAGATTTTAGTATATTTCCGCTATCTCCTCGAAGTTTGTTATTTTATGCGTTGCATAAAAGAGAGAGAAGTTGTCTATTTCAAGTGGTTACACAAGTTGGAAGCACATCCGTTTCTCAGTAGCAATTTTAGTAATTAAAAAATGAAGCAAGAAACGTGGCTTGAAAAACGGATCGGTGTTTCAGAGAAAGTAAAAAGAATTGATTCCATCATGTGATTTGACACATTTCTCTTCACCAATCCCAATTCCAAACACTCTTCCTCCATTACGAAGCAAATGTTGTCTCTGATGATCATGAATCAATCCACTTGGAATGTTGAGGAGACAAAGTGCTCTGATCTTGTTGGAGAAATCAGAGTCACTCACACTCTCTTTCCTCAGTTTCTCCACTTTCCACTTTGGTAACTTCAGCTTCACGCTAATCATCACTTCTTTTTCTTCAACAACCTCATCTTTCTTCTTCATTACCGAGAGATCAGATGATGACCTACGAGACAGCTTCAGATTTTCCAGCCTCTCCTTGGCACTCATCTGAATTTCCGACCGAACCCTTCTTGGGCCTCTCTCTTTCCATGTTCTGCCACGTGGGTTTTGATGATTACTCAAAAAAGATTAACGTAAATCAAAGAGCTGAAATTGAGGAAAATACCTTGGAAGTTCCACCATGAAATAAATCCTTTTAGTTTCCAAGTACTGGTTAGGGTCTAAAGGCTTTGCTCTGATTCCAAAATGCTTTACTGATTCTGATTCCAAGAGAATGTGGCCGGGAAAATCTTTAACCACCGTACCAGCTTTCACCGGAGTTTTCAGCTTGAAACTCTCTCCATTGATCTTCATGATTTTCACAGTTTTCTTGCTTCTCAAGGTATTACCCATTTAGAGTTTTGTGTAGGGTTTACTAAAAATGTGAATCTTTGTTGTGGGTGGGTTCTATTAAAGATTTAAGAGCTCAGTAGTTCAAGGTGGGTGCTGTGTTAGATCAGAGATGATTATAAGATTTTGGATTTATGGTTGGTTGCTGATGATAGTGAACCATCTTTTTGGTCAACAAAATGCCAAATCTTTCAAAAATATTATAACTTTGGGAAGACAAAGTTACGTCGCATTTCGTTATCAATCTTGAAAAAAGAAAAGAAAAGACCAGTAACAACCCGAAAATCATGTCTTGTTTTTTAATGATAATTAATTGAAATCGAAGTTTATGTGCAAGAGAGTTTGTGGTTTTGGAAGTTTTGTGACCTATGTTTCCGGGAAAATGACCTTTGCGTTAATCACTCCGATTAATCTGCAAAAATTTCGTAGTCAAAAACATTTCTTCCCAAAGGCACGTGAAGATTGATTGACTTTTAACGAATTGGAAAACAAAAACCTAAATTTGCTTCTCTTTCTAAGAACAGTAACTAATGCACGTGAACCAATCTGTGAAGCTAATAAACCAAAAGACCTTATTAATCATATGAAACTGATTTAACAATATGTTAATTCAACAAATAAATATAAGGTGAGCATTCGATTCTCGTAACTATTTAACCTCAAATGGAATTAGTCTCCAAATTTAAAGAACATAAACAGATGAAAGAAACAGTCAGCAAAAATTTAACTAAAATGTTACAGTATAAAACAAATAATTTGCAAGTTAATTCGAAATTTTCTTTTTGGTAAGAGTAATTATTAGTGAGATAATTTGCGAAGAAGCCCTAGCAAAAGATTAGCTTTCTGCTTAGCTCTCTCTGTACCATCTCTCGCTAGCTCCATCAAAGGAACAACAGCTCCAAGTCTACCAATAAACGTCAGTCTCTCAGCATCATTCCTACAAAGACACAGCAGTATCGCCGCCGCGTTCTCTCGGTTCCTCGGCTGCTGATCCTTCTGAAGCACATCAACCAACGCCCCCATCGCTTTAGCCTTCAACATCAACGCTTTAGCTTCTAGGTTACAAGAAGCCAAAAACGAAAGCATGGTCAAAGCTTCATCGACCAACCTCTCGCTCTCGGTCAGCATTTTCACCAACGGTTTAACAATACCGGCTCTAACCGCTCTCCCTGTGTTTCCTTGATACATACACAAGTTAAACAAAGCCGTCGCAGCGTCTTTCTTGCCTCTCACGCTACCGTTCTCAAGCAGATCCACTAACGCCGGTATCGCGCCGGACGCGCCTATTACGATCTTGTTCTCATCAGCTAACGAGAGGCTGAAGAGAGCCGCCGCGGCGTTCTCTTTAGCTACCGTGGTTCCTGCTCTCAGCACATGCACTATAGAGGTGATTGATGGTCCTGCGAGCATGATCAGCTCTTTGTTTGGATCGTATATAGAGAGGTTGAGAACACAAGTGACAGCTTTCTCCTGCGTTTCAGTATCTTCCGAGGTCAGAAGCTTGATCAGAACAGGGATGGCTCCTGCTTCCGCAATTAGGATTCTATTGTCCATGCTTCGTTTGGAGAGAGAACGTAGCTTGGAGAGTGCGTTCTTGCGTTCTTGGATCGATCGGGTGGTGGAGAGCTTGCGAACCACTGCTCGGATCGCTGACATGTCTCCGGCTAGAGACCCATCACTGTTTTTGGTTTTACTCTCAATGTTGTGCTTAGTGCACCATTGAGAGATGAGGCTTCTGAGAACGTAGTTTGGAGTGAGAGTGAAGTTTTCGAGCTTCTGCTGTGTCTTTGGGCATCTCAGGTTTCCACAGTCTATCCATCTTTGTATGTAAGACCTCTCGTATGTCTGTCCTGTTGAAACGATTACAGGATCTTTCATCAGTTCTAGAGATATTGGACAAAGAAAGTCCTCTGGGATTGTGAGTTCTTCTTCTTCTGAGTTCTTTGAGTCATCATCGTTGATCGTTGTAACCGCTTTCTCTGATCTCTCTTCATCAGCATTCTTTGATAAGAAGAAAGCCAAGGAAACAGAAGAGCTCTTCCTCAAATGCTCTGTTTCTTGAATACTCTCCAGCTTCTCCTCAGCAACAAATTTGCTCTTGGTGATGCTAAAGATATCATCTTTCTCAATTGGTTCGGATAGAGCAATCGAGAACTTCTTTGAATTCAAAGATCCGTATCTCTGCGTTGCTCTTTTCAGCTGTGATCTTGCTAGTTCCACCTGATTTTAACAAGAAAGCTAGAACCTTTAAGAACATATGTTACATACACACTCTGCATAAACTCAAAAACGAAAAATTTACCTGTTCGCGGACTTCAACGGAGATGTGATATTGATCATATGGCAAACCGGTTAATGCTTTCTCCAGTTTCCACGCAACGCATTGGAAGTGGAATGAGATTCTCTTGGCAGCACCGTCCTTCAATCAAGAATCAACCAAAGTTTAAAACAACAATGGCTATGCTCTGTTTCTATAAAAAAGTATTGATCTTTCTATGCTCTGTTTTCTGGAAAGCAAAAACACGATAGTGACTGAACATAATAACTAAATCCTCCGAGCAAAAAGAATTGTTTTTTCCGGCGAATTTCAGATTAGACAAGAGATTGGTGATACATTACAAGGATTGAGCATCTAATCTGAGGATCAAATAAGATCGATTTGAAAACTGGAGAAACAGAGTAAAACTTCATTTGGTTTACAGAGGATTAAAGTGCTTACAGAGGATTCGCGAGCTCTGAAACTAGTGGCTGTGACTAGAAGCCGCTTGGCGGATTGGAGCCCAACCACGAGATCAGACCACCAATCATCATCATATTCAGAAGGAATCAAAGAAGACGAAGGATCAGATTCCGGAGTCGGAGAATCTCTAATCTCTTCGACCAAATGCGTCAAGAGACAAACTCGTCTCGCGAGATCCGCACAGTCTTTCTTAAACACTCCCGTATTCGCCGGAATTACAATGATTTCGGCGATGAGACCGAGCAGAGAAGCGGGAGAGACGGCTACTCCGGCCATTACAAACTCGGAATTGGGACTCGCTCGCTCGCTAGCTGTGACTCAGACGCGCCTGTGCATGGGACGCTTTTATGTATCCAACGAAGCCATGTGGCTAAAGAGGAGAAATCGTTATTACGACAACGTTTCGGGAAGTGTTTTATCCACTTGGTCTAAGTCCAAACATGGGTTTTTATTGGAATTTTATCAGTTTAGATAAGATTCCTGTGATACATTAAAGAATAATACTACAATACAACAAAATTAAATAATTGAAAGCGAGATTCGCGGTGAGAGTGTTAGAGAAAATGAAAAAAAAAATACATTTGTCATTTTTAGTTATTGCAATTTGTATTGCAACCAAGCTTATATAATAAAAACAAAACCACATTTTTAAATTCAAGAAAAGCAATATATATTTATATAAGGAAATGGTTTGTTTTTTTTTTTGTAAAAAAGGAAATGGTTTGTTGCGTGAGTTATAATATTGTAGTATTTTATTTTTGAATTGTGGTGAATAATATTCTAATGGGATGGAGGAGGGATAAAATAAGAGAATCGGCCAAATATATATAATAATCTTCAATTGTCATAAAAAAAATCAAATTGGTTAGTTTTTTTCTGAGATGCAAGTAAGTTAAAATTTCTTAATTTGTCATAAATCATTGATTCAGTTCATTCTAGGTGCATTGTATTGACATGTATTTCTTGGTATATGATCTGGCTTACACTAAATCAAAAGGTGAAATAAATATTTTCCTTTTAAAAAAATAACTTTTCTTCTATGTGTAGTTATAATTTGTTTTGACATTGATTTGTTTCTTCTAGAAATCTTTTCTTTCTTTAACTCTTTTTTCAGGAAAAGTTCTACAGAATTGAAAAGTAGATGTGTTGTTTTTCCAGAGCTGCATTATTATACTTTTGAGATTTTCTTAGACACAATCATTTAAAAGATATGATAGAAAAACACTAGGACTACATTATTATTTCCTCACAAATGTAACGACATTAGGTTATAGTCCAGCAATATCAAAGACTTAGAGGTCAATAAGATAGATTTTGACCAATTCACACCATAATAATGACACTTATAGAGTGAACTTGCAAACTCAATTGTATAGATTTTGTAGGACTCCAAGGTGGCTCCGCCACAATGTAACACGTTGATTAAGCTGCCAGAGCTTGAGCTCCAGCCCTCTATCAATATCACATCAATGTTTTAGAATTTGCAGGACTTTCCTCATGGAGGTGACCAAAAAATTAATGCACCCACACAAAGAAATATGCTAGAGTGGTCTACACTAAACACAATTTTACAACATTGCAAAAGCTTTTCAGTGGAACATATGCACTCAGGCCCGACTCTACTATAAGACAAGAGAAGCCCAACTTCATGCCACAATTTATTATTTAAGGGGCACCATGTTTCACTGCTTATGTTGGCTTAGTGGCTCAACTCAGTGGTGGCTAAGACATTTCTTTTGTTCTTTTTTGATATTTGTAGATTGTGGTTGGTCTTTATTCTTTCTTCTTTTCCGTTTTTTCTTTTGTTTTTTCCGTTTTTTTTCACCAAACTCTAAAGATTCTTCTAGATTGTGTCCTATGCAGCAAGTTTCTACAATAATGGAACCATACATATATATGTGAGTACAATTACTTTATTAACAAAAAAACGGCCTCTCGATCTATCACCTCATTCCATTTCCAGGTTTTTGTCTAATTTTCTACAAAAGATTCGTGTATAAATAGACACACCAACTCAATGTTTTTGCTGTCTTTTAACCTCAAACGATGGTTTACATACATTTTTTCGACGTTACATACATACGAAGTTACATGTTACTTATATATACTCGCATATAGATGTATTTCAAATCAGATAATAGACTTATTACTTGATTAAGTACATATACAATACATAGTGTTTTTAAAAAAGGAAAAAGAAAATAGCTCAATTTTAGAATAGGTAGATTCCGCTTTGCTAGAAGAGTTATATTGTTTTTGCGTAAAGAGTAAAGTGTAGGCTAGAGGAAGATGAACATACTTCTCCATTTTAAGAGAGTCAATTAATGTCAAGAAATGCATGTGCACCGCATATTCATTACCCTTATAGCCAACTTCTTTACTGCCTTATTAACTCGATTCATTCAACGGTTATTGTCGGTTCTATTCGGTTTACTACTACTAATGGCTTCACCTAAAACGAACCGGACATTTAAGAGAGAATAGTCGTTCAAAAAAGTCTGATGATACCAACCGGTCCAATTCCGAATTCAAATCTCCAAACACCGTTTTATTAACTCTAGTGATTATTTTATCATATGCTTTGTAATATAACATCATATGCAAGATGTGTACAAACAATTAAACAAATACACCATATTTATTTTTGGATTCAGCAACTAGGTGTCGAAAAACCAAAATACACTATTTTTCATCGGAAAAGAAGAAGCGTTTCTTGACATGCTGAATCATGGTTAGAGGATCCGCCAGAGTCTTGAAGGAAACAACCTGGCAAAGAAGTCACGGTCTTCATCGGGATGAGACCAATGTTGAGGTCAGGCAAATGGTTTTGTCCCGTACTAGTAATATCCTCCAAGCAATTTGAAATAGGTAATATTGTCATATCACATGAGTCGGATACCGAAGAAGATTGATCACATATTTCATTTTCTTTATGCGAGGAATTAAGGTAACGTCTGGTAATGTAGTTGGTGTGGTGGTAGAGACGATGATTGGTTGGATCTATTCCCATTTTCACGAGTTTCCTCTTTAAGTAAGTTTCCCAATGGATCTTTACTTCGTTGTCGGTTCGTCCAGGCAATCTTCCCGCTATCAACGACCATCTGAAAACGTACCATAAAACTTTAGATTTCAAGAACCATTCACATTTTATAATAACATTCGAAACTGAATCAAGAAGAAGAACTATAACCTTTTTTTCCCTCAAATTTCAGATTCCATTCCAATAAAACTCGTTACATTCAATTATTAAAAAAAAAAAATTATAACCTATTGCCAAGAAGTGCATGAAGCTTGAGGATGAGATCGTCCTCGTCTTTTGAGAAGTTTCTTGGTTTAAGTTCTGGCTTTGTGTAGTTTATCCCTCTCACTCTACATCTCTTGCCAAGGTGTAACAATCCTAAAATTTGAAAAATTAAATCAATATTGGATCAATAAGTTTTACATATATAACAAACCTCGATCTTTCATTATAAATAATTGTTATATTATATGAATAGCAAAACACACGATTGTTACTGTTCAAAAGAAGAGCATATATCGACGGGAAGATAGTTACCGGAAGACGGAGACAGAGCACGGTGACGGATTTTTTTCATGTCTTCTTGAAAGGAGATTGGTTGGTTTTCTACTGTTTGTTGATTGATTGTGAGGATGTTTTAACGAGAAACAATTGAATGATATATAGGAATAGAGGATAGATCGAGGATAGAGGTTTGACTTGGACCGGTGGGTTGAGAGAAGTGTGCATGCTCAATTAATAATAATTGGACGAGGAACGAGAAGAAGAAGAAGAAGACACATACTATAAGTCTATAACATGTTAACTGGTCCCACAGTGTTTCAACTCCGATGGACTTTTATTGAGATGATCCTTTTCAAAGCTCGTGGGAGTCATAAATGTGGAAAGATGTTTGCATTTAATATGCCTTACCGATACAACACCAATCCAAATCTTGCTCTTATCCACATTTTTTACAAGTACAATTATCATTTTTCCCCGTAAAATGTATATATGGTTTAGATAGTAGAATGAAAAAGAATGTATATGCATTGCTCTGAGTCTCCGATAGATAACTGTTAGGATCTAAGAGCCTTGAGGCGTCGACTTTCCTCAAGATAAGAACCAAACACACCAAGAACAGAACACGTTTGTTGTGAAAACAGAGAAGAAGAAAGAGCTTTGTGTAAGAACAGAGGAAAGAAAGAAAAACAGAGCACACAACCAAGTTTACCCAGTTCACGCCCGTTAACTAGGGTCGTTACGTCTGGGCCGAGACTCACCTCGGAATCCACTAGATTTAGAGAGTTTACAGCACAAGAAGATACAAGTAGTCACTCTAATACCCTTCACTAGTACTTAGACACTACTCTGTTATCTTCTTGTCTAAGAGAACACAATGAACACTTGTTTATGCTATTCAAAGTTTCTCTCTCAACACTCTCTCTAAATCTATCTCAAGTCTCTCGTAACTCTCTCTCTTGCCCCTTGTGTCCTTTTATATTGATGACACACTAGGGTTTCTTGTGCTACACAAGCCGCCGCGTTAACGTCTCCGAAACGCCGTTAGCTTAGCAGAAGCGTGGACTTTCCTTTTTGAGCACAAACAGACTGAGGTCGTCCTAAAGGCAGAAACAGACTTAAGCTTGTTTTATATTGCAGAAAGCCGTTACCCCTGATTGTGGTCCAAAAGCAACTTAACCATGGTTTGGTTTATTTCCACCATAGTTAGTCTTTACTTTCCACGCTGGCAGAATCACGTGAGCTTGATCATCAAGTTATCTTCTTCACAAATCTCCACCAGATAACATGAAGAACAAGCCATTTCCTGCACATAACAGAGAGAGAGAGTACCTTGAGAGTTACATGGATTCCAGTCTCGGATTCCCTGAGTTTATTACTCAGGCTTGACCTGTAGCAAGTTCAACGCCGCCTGAAACTTGCTCACAGCCAACACCTTGGTGAATATATCAGCCGGATTCTTCTCGGTTGATATCTTTAACACCTCAACATCACCATCTGCAATGACATCTCGGATGAAGTGATACTTCACGTCAATGTGCTTCGTCCTTTCATGATGCACATTGTTTTTAGAGAGCGCAATGGCACTCTGTGAATCGCAGAAGATCTCCACACTTTTCTGATCATAACCAAACTCCTTCATAAGACCCTTCAACCACACTGCTTCTTTAACCGCTTCAGTCAATGACATGTATTCAGATTCTGTTGTTGAAAGGGCAACAACTCGTTGCAGACCAGATTTCCAGGTGATTGTGTTACCACCGAGAGTAAACACTAAGCCAGTAATGGATCTTCTTCGATCAGGGTCTGCAGCATAATCAGAGTCACAATAACCACTATCTTGAACTCAGATCTTCTCTTGTAGCATAGCCTCGTCTTTAGGCTTCCCTTGATGTACCTCAGCACCCATTTCACTCCTAACCAATGATCTTTGACAGGACTGCTCATAAATCTGCTTATGACCCCCACAGGATACGCCAAATCAGGCCTTGTGCCTATCATGGCATACATGATGCTTCCCACTGCATTTGAGTATGGAATAGACTTCATGTATTCTTCATCTTCAGCCAGCTTAGCTTCAGTAGCTGCACACATCCTCATGTGAGCTCCAAGTGGTGTTGTTACAGATTTTGCTTCTTCCATCTTGTAAGTTTCAAGGATCTTGTTCAAATAACCCTCTTGAGACAACCACAAAGCACCAGCAGCTCTGTCTCTAGTGATCTCCATCCCAAGAATCTTCCTTGCTGCTCCAAGATCCTTCATTTCGAATTTTGAGCTGAGATCCTTCTTTAACTGCAGAATAGCTTCTTTGTTCTTTGCAGCCACAAGCATATCATCAACATAGATGAGTAGATACATCAAAGAACCATCACTCAAACTCTTCACATATGCACAACTGTCGTAATTGCTTCTTACAAAACCAATCTCAGACATGTAGTTGTCAAACTTCTCATTCCACTGCCTTGGGGCCTGTTTTAAACCATACAGAGCCTTGTTGAGAAGACATACCTCATTTTCTTTGAACATCTGACCATACCCTTCAGGAGGTGTCATGTAGATCTTCTCTTTCAAGTCTCCATGCAGAAAAGCGGTTTTGACATCAAGTTGCTCCAGCTCAAGATCTTCTTGTGCAACAATCGAAAGTAGTATCCTTATAGATACATGTTTCACCACTGGAGCAAAGATCTCGTGATAATCAATTCCTTCTCTTTGAGCATACCCTTTGGCTACTAATCTTGCTTTGAAACGTGGGTCTTCTACTTCAGGAATTCCAAGTTTATACTTGTAGATCCATTTGCAGCCAATAACCCTCTGATTCACTGGTCTTGGTACCACAGTCCATGTGTTGTTCTTGACCAGTGATTCCATTTCGTCATTCATAGCAAGCTTCCACATTTCCCAGTTTGAGTCCAGTTTTGCTTCAGTGTAACAATCTGGCTCAACAGAAAACCCATCTTCAGTAGTATACAGAGCCTCTGCAAAATAGTCTTCATCATCAAAACGCCTTGGTGCTTTGATTACTCTCCTGTCTCTGTCTCTGACCAGATGATAGCTTGGAGGTGATTGATTTATCTCAATCTCTGCACTGTCATTGCTCTCAGGTGCTTGTGGTGATGTCAGACTTGGGCTTGGTGATGTTGGAGTGTTGCTGACGACCCCAAAGTCTCCACCTGAAGTAGTATCTCCATCTGCTTCAATATCTAGATCCAAATAAGATCCAGAATGATCATCTTCCTCCACAGTAATGTCATCTTTTCTCTGCAACAGATCTTTGTAAACCTCATTCTCTTGAAAGATAACATTTCTGCTCACAGCACACTTTCTCTCCTCCATCAGCCATACTTTGTATCCTTTAACTCCAGGAGGATACCCAATAAAGACCCCTTTCTTAGCCCTTGGATTCAACTTTCCATCATCAATATGAATGAACACAACACAGCCAAATCTCCTCAAGTAGCTGTATCCTGGTGGTTTTCCAAACCACTTCTTGTCTGGTATGTCGAAGTTGATTGCAGAACACGGAGTCTTATTGATAAGAACAGATGCAGTAAGAGTCGCTTCAGCCCAGAACTTCTTAGGAAGACCTGAGTCACTCAACATTGTTCTTACTTTCTCCATGAGTGTTCTGTTCATGCGCTCTGCAACTCCATTTTGCTGAGGAGTGTAAGCACAAGTGTGATGTCTCTGAATTCCCCTTGACTCACAGAAACCATCAAACATCTTGTTGCAGAACTCGAGTCCATTGTCTGTCCTCAACGTCTTCACTTTCTTCTCGCATTGATTCTCCACCAGACTGACCCACTCTACAAACTTCTCAAACGCCTCATCTTTTGTCTTGAGAAAATAAACCCAGACCTTTCTTGAGTAATCATCAATAAATGATATGAAATATTGACAATTACCAAGAGACAATGGTACAGATGGAGCTCCCCACAGATCAGAATGAACATACTCTAGCTTCTCCTTTGAGTCGTGTTGAGCTATGTTGAAACCAACTCGTTTAGCTCTCCCATATATGCAGTCTTCACACGTCTCAAACACAGACACCTTCCTCTTGTCTAGTAAACCCTTTCTCAGCATTATGTTCATGTTCTTCTGGCTCATGTGCCCCAATCTTCTATGCCATAGCACTGTATCATCTTGTCTCCTCTCTACAGCAAGAGATTCCTCTGTAACAGGTTTCCACTTCAGCAAATACAGAGTATCAAATCTCTTTCCAGTCAACAGAGTTTGACTTCCTGCCTTGATACTTAAAACACCATCTTCTGACTCAAACTTGTAACCAGCTTTCTCAAAGGTTCCCAAAGACAACAAATTTCTATCCATTTCAGGGATGTACCTGACATTTGTGAGCAGAACGCTTAGACCAGCTTCGTTTTTGAGTCTGATTGTTCCAACGCCTTTGACCTTGGACACGGTCTTGTTCCCCATCCTGACTGAACCCGCTGCTTCTTCATCCAGATCTTCAAACCATTCTCTCTTGTACGTCATATGATAGCTACAGCCTGTGTCCATGATCCACTCATCTTCAAGATGTATGTCTGTAGAAGATAGAGCTTCTGACACATACAAACCGGTTGCTTCAGTTACATTGTTTGCTTCAGTTACATTGCTCTTCCCGTTAGAGGACTCTCCTCTACTGTGGCTTTGATCTTTTGATCTGAAATGAGCTTTATTCTTGTTGGGGCAGGTGTTTTTGAAGTGGCCTTCTTCACCACAGATCCAACATCCTCGTTTACTCTTAGATTTGGACCTTGATCGATTTGCCTTTGAGCCCCTTTCTCTCTGCTCACTTCTCCCTCTGGTCTCGTTCTTGTCTTTCACGAACAGACCCTCAGCTTGACCTTTGAAACTCTTTTTGTTTGACCCAAACTCCAGCTCCTTTGCATATATGGCTGCAATAACCTCATCAAGAGTTAGGATGTTGCGTCCTGTACCATACTTCAGAGTATCCCTCAGTTGATCAAACTGTCTTGGAAGCGACATCAGCAAGAGAATGGCTTGATCTTCATCTGACACAACAACACTTGTGCTCTCCAAATCTGTTATAAGATGAAGAAACTCATCGATGTTTCCTTCAATAGACAGATTTTCAGACATCTTGAAGCTGTATAGCTTCTGTTTCAGATAGATCCTATTTGGGAGGGCTTTAGATATATAGAGTTTGTCTAGAGCGTTGAGCATATCAGCTGCAGTCTTCTCCTTTTTTATCTTCCTCAGGACCTGATCTGAAACACTCAAAACAATGGTGCTTCTAGCTTTCTTCCTTTTTTCTTCTAAGGCTTCCTCCAACTTGATATCTTCTGTATCTTCATCTGACGACGGGTCTGGATCAAAAGTTCTTTCTTTCAGCGTGACTGTCTCCTTCAGAGCAGCACTCAGACCCAGAATGTCTAGATGAGCTTCTAGCTTCTCTTTCCACAGTGTGTAGTCTCCACGACCATCAAACTTCTCCACCTCTATCCTTGCCGAAGACATGGCTCTTGGCAAGCACGAGCTTCACCAAGCCACTACCAGGGATGAACCTGGCTCTGATACCAATATGTTAGGATCTAAGAGCCTTGAGGCGTCGACTTTCCTCAAGATAAGAACCAAACACACCAAGAACAGAACACGTTTGTTGTGAAAACAGAGAAGAAGAAAGAGCTTTGTGTAAGAACAGAGGAAAGAAAGAAAAACAGAGCACACAACCAAGTTTACCCAGTTCACGCCCGTTAACTAGGGTCGTTACGTCTGGGCCGAGACTCACCTCGGAATCCACTAGATTTAGAGAGTTTACAGCACAAGAAGATACAAGTAGTCACTCTAATACCCTTCACTAGTACTTAGACACTACTCTGTTATCTTCTTGTCTAAGAGAACACAATGAACACTTGTTTATGCTATTCAAAGTTTCTCTCTCAACACTCTCTCTAAATCTATCTCAAGTCTCTCGTAACTCTCTCTCTTGCCCCTTGTGTCCTTTTATATTGATGACACACTAGGGTTTCTTGTGCTACACAAGCCGCCGCGTTAACGTCTCCGAAACGCCGTTAGCTTAGCAGAAGCGTGGACTTTCCTTTTTGAGCACAAACAGACTGAGGTCGTCCTAAAGGCAGAAACAGACTTAAGCTTGTTTTATATTGCAGAAAGCCGTTACCCCTGATTGTGGTCCAAAAGCAACTTAACCATGGTTTGGTTTATTTCCACCATAGTTAGTCTTTACTTTCCACGCTGGCAGAATCACGTGAGCTTGATCATCAAGTTATCTTCTTCACAATAACCTTTGTGAATTCGCAAAACGTATTATATATACAGAGAACACCAATAAAACGTTTTCGCTGTATAAAAAATATAATAAAAACTGTAAACACATGTCGATGATAAGAACTCTAGTTTAGAAGATAGGAGAAGAAACAAATATGTCCAACATTTGTGAATTAAAAAAAAAAGGCAGTACAATGTCAAGAAATTAAATACATCGAATATGAAGAAGATATATATATATATTTTGTGAATACATTTGTGAAGAAGAAAAAAGATTTTTTTTTTTTTGTAGTTCTAAGAAAGAAAGAGATATTTTGTAAGTGGCGAAACGTACTATATCGATATTTTTTTGTAGTTCTAAGAAAGAAAGAGATATTTTGTAGTTGTTTAAGATCCAGAAGTTTGTAAAACGTACTATATATACAGAGAACATTAATAAAATGT